ATCTCTGGCCTTTCTTTCAGTACCAAATCACAAAGCCACTCCCGTGTTTTTTATTGATGCTACAATCATCTTGCAGCAGACTTGAGAGAGAGAGCTGAGATAGACACTGGGCAACTCGACTTGCCGAATAACACACTAACTCCCTTCTCGTGTCCTCTGAATAGACACTGTCCTCCAAACCTCAGGGGGAAGACCATTGTTCCACCTGACTCCTCACTGCTGAGTACAGACAGTTTGGCCATAGCTTGTTTTCTGCATTCCTCCATGTGTTTTTAGTGAAAAATGCACCACTGGCTTTTCATTAATCTCCATGTATTATGATGTAACTTATAATTGCAGTATTTACCACGACAACAAACATTTGGTAACAGTAAAAAGAATATAAAATCATGAGTATAAAAATATTGCATGGAGCCTTGGAAGAGTCTATGCAAATGAGGGGCCCTGTGACCTAAATTCAACAAGGTTCACAAGCACAGTCTGGGAGTTAACCATGAAGCTGTTCACATCCTTTTCCTTTGAAGTCCTACTTTTGGAAATGAGTTCAACAGGATTACTCAGAAGCAATGTGCTCTGTTGGGTACGAACAGGTAAAGCACAAGCTCCTGTCAGCACGTCCAATGTTCTCCATGATTCCAGGTGCCCCTCTCCTTCCCATAACCCTAATCTGGCTTCCCTACCTCATCCATGTGTGTTCATGGCCTTTGGGCTCAGCACCCTCCCACCGCAAGGCCTCTGAGTTCCCCCTTCCCCTCATCCACACCACCTTTTCTTTGGTAAGTACCTACCTATGGGGGTTACTATAAGTGTGAAAGGAGACCTAGCATGCGAAGTACAAGCACAGACCTTGTCGATTAAAACAATCTCAGTGCAGGTGGCAGTAAGACTATTTTTTTCCATTTGAACAAGACAGCCACAAGGTCAGTGATTTGCTCACAGTCACATAATCAGCAAAGGACAGAGGAAGGATTGGAATCCAGCCTGTTTCCTTTACAGGTTGACCCTCCCAGCCAAGCGTTGTAACTTGAAAAATTTCCAGCCGCGAGTTCAATCCTCAGTACAAACAAACAAACAAACAAACACTTGAAAAATTTCCCAGGCTGTGACTAAAATGCAGGATTGGCTCTGCCAGGTACAATGGCGATGTTATTATTCTTACCGTGGCATCTTCACCTGCAAGGTGTGGTTGACGAACATGCCTGACTGTTAACATGAGGACTGGGTCCCATTTCACTGTGCTTTGAACTCCTGAAGAAAGATAGCACTGCCTGGCAGGCACCCCCTGGGGTGGCTTCTGGTAGACTGTGTGACAGAACATCTGAGTCGCAGCTCTGTCAGCAGCACTGGGCTGCAATGCCTAGGTTTAGTCCTAGGCAACACTGCACTCTTGACTGTTGGTCTCCCTCCAATTTGTTTCTAAGTTCTGTTTATGAGAGATACAATGGGAAATATGTTTCAATCATGGCAAGGAAGATACAGTTCAGGCATCTTTTTGACTTTTCCAGTTTTTTGGAAGTTATTTTTTCTAAATGAACCTTGTTCTATTAAAATTTTATTTCTTATTACATTGTATATATCTATGGGACAAAATGTAAAGGTACAAAAGGATGTGCAATGAAACATCTCCCTCCCAGCCATCTCCCTGCTTCTGAGTCATTCTAGACTCTACTACTGCTTTAAACAACTATTGTATGTAATTTTTTTGTGCCTTCTGTGCCATACATAGTGGCATAACAACAGCATACCATGTACAGAGTCCACAACATCTTAACACTATCTTAAAGATCATTCCACTTAGGGGTATAAAAAGTTGGTTTTTTTAGGCTGCAAAGTTTTACTTTGAGTAAACCATACTGTACTTTACTTACTCCGCTTTTTATTAGCAGATATTCAGCTGTTTCCTTACTTTTCTATTTCAAAAATTGCAGCAATGATTAGTTGTACATTAAAAATGTAGCAGTCTGTCCAAGTTTAAATTCCTAGAAATATCACCAATCACTTGCTATAGAGGCTGTACTGATACATAGTCTCATTAATTAGTCATGAGTTATTTGCTCTACATTACCATATTTTTCTGGAATCTAGCTCAGTATTGTTGACTTGCACCCCCCTCCCCCGATTGCACTCAGGGCCTTGGTACTGAATTATCCCCCCATCTTTTTTCTTTTTGGTATCAGGGATCAAACTCAGGACCTTGCTCTTGTGAGAAAGGCACTACACCACTGAGCTAGACCCTTCCCCTTTAAGAGACAGGGCTTAATAAATTGCTAAATTGGGCCAGGGATTTAGCTCAGTGGAGCCATGCCTGCCTTGTAAGTGCAAGGTCCTGAGTTCGATCCCCAGTACAAAAAAAAAAAAAAAAAAAAAAAATTAAAGGTTGCTAAATTGTCTAGGCTGAGCTTGACCTTGTGATCCTTCCTCCTGTCTTAGCCTTCTAGAATGTAGGTTACAGGTATGCATCAGCATGCTTGGCTAGCTTGGCTACCCATGTTTTTAACAACGGCCTGTATTGATGGCAGAAACAGGAAATTCTTTATAAGGAAATGATTAAGTTCCAGGCAAACCACCTGGAGAGATTAGGCACATTCTCTTTTTAAGATGAATAAGGACAACCCATCTTTGCGGCAAATGTCCTGAATTGTGAGGGATGGGCTAAGTCCTCCTTGGTCCTTAGATTCATGATTTTTTGAAAACAACTGCTCTAACCTTAGGACAGGATAATTTACAGGCAGACAATTACCCTTAACAATTAACTTTTAAAAAATTACAAAGTAATACACATCTGAAAAAGATAGCTAAGCAAAAAAAAAAATAGTAACATTGATATTGCTTCCAGTACTAGATATAAACAGTCCAATACTATTATTACCAAGTTCCATTTTACAGACAAAGACACTGAAGTTCCAAGAGGTTAAGTAATTTTGTTTGTTTTGTTTTCGGTACCAGGGATCAAACTGAGGACTTTGTGCTTTCTAGGCAGGTGTGGTGCTAAATCCCCAGTCCTAGGTTAAATTTTTTTTTTTGTTTTGTTTTTTGGGACAGGATCTCACTCCGTAGTTGAGACTGACCTGGAACTCACTATGTAGCTCAGGCTAGTCTTGAACTCACAGCGATCCTCCTGCCTCAGCCTCCCAAGTGCTGGGATTACAGGTGCGTGCCACCACGCCTGGCCAGATTAAGTAATTTTTACAACATCATAAAAGCTGGTGTTACCATGATATAAACTTCAGTATTTCTAAAGACAAGTTGAATTTTAGAGCACTCACTCTGTAAAATCAAGAACACAGCCTAGAAATGAATACTGTCAGATGGTGTTCTTATTATTTATTCATGCACATGTTCTTAGGAACTCTTCACCTTTCAGCCTAAGCTAGATAATCTGTTTCTCTTACTGTATGTTGGGTAGTGGTTGTGGTGGTGGAGGGGAGGTAAAGGTAGTATCTCCATTATTTGTTCCAATACAACTATCTACTTTTATTTTATGTTAAGAGTTATCCTCCCTCTAAGGTTGTACCAATTTGTATTCCCACCAGCTGTGTATGAGTGAGTTTCTTCATATATTTACTATGCTTGCTATTCATTAAGTCTTCAAATGTATCCTTTCATCAAACTGTGGAATAATTAGTGTCTTTCTATTGTGTAAAAAGTGCTTTTGTTAATTAACATCCAGAACACGGTGCTGACCCATGTTCTCTACAACAGTAAGTGTTGGAAATTGTTCAAATGATATCAGTGTGAGTGGAATATCCATTCTTGTCTGAAGGAGCTGAGCCACGCAGGTCACTTTGACACGTGATTTTTCAATCCAAATGCAAAACTTTAGATAATGAATTTCCGACCTCAAAGTCCACATTTATCTTGACTTTGAGCTTTTGAAAAAACAAGGACCTTGAGTCTGCTTCTCAGCTCAAGCCCAGGTCTAATGTTAATCTGATTCTGCATACAACATTGCTTTGCTTTGAGTCCATCAAAACACTGCTTTATTTAATTTTTATCACAACTCTCTTTCCTCCTAATCCAATAACGACCCTTTTGTGTAGGGAGATGGGCCCTCCGAACCACAATCTCCCTCCCTGCAGCAAATTCATAAATAGAGCTTTTTTGTTGACTACTTTGTTATGTTTTGGTGGTCTTTCTTTTTCTTTTTTTGTCGGTACTGGGATCAAACTCAGGACCTTGCTCTTGCAAGGCAGGTGCGGTACTACTTAGCTAAATCTCAGGCCCTTGGTGTTCTGTATTTTAAGGCTTTGTCAATCCCAAATCATAGGTCCTAACCCTAAAACAACAGAGTTCTAGTCAGTATCATTTTACAGATTGTTTTAAAAACAGGATGGATTCTCACCTGCTGGTAAATGCAAGTCCTGCCCGATGAACTAGATTAAAAGTCAACATCAGTTTTTGCTTTCCGTTCCTGCAACGCTCCCCGCTAGTCAGAGCGCTTATTTTCTTTACGCGGAAATCTCGTCCCCTAGATCTCGCCCGGCGGGCTCCGCTCACCTCCCGGGACCTGCCCGTGCCCACGTACGGTAGCATCTCCCTACTCTCCTCCACCACCGCCCCAGTGTGTTTTATTTTCTTACCCCTCTCTGAAACTACCTTATTCCATTGCTCATTAAAAAACAAAACAAAACAAAAAACACCCAAACACAACTCCCCCGAGAACGGAAGATCCAGAGACCTGTGGGGCCAACAGCTGTCAAATAACTGAGCAAAGGCCATATCCGCCCCCTGCCCCTTTCACTTGCGTACTGGAGGTCCTAGGGAATTACAACTCGGGCCAGAAATAGGTGGAAGGTGTTCAGTCACACCATTGGTTGGAGTTTTTGCCGTTGATCCTGGCAACTGCTATTTCCAACCAGTCAGGTAGTGGCACGCCCCTCCCCTTTCGTCGGATCCCGCCCCAGGGCTCCGAGACTCAGCCCACCTGAAACCTGAGCTTTTCCTTTCCTTTAAACCGCAGGACTTCCGGTTACGTAGCCCGCGGCCGCCGGAAGGGGAAGTTTCGCTTCGGAAAGCCGTTTCGCTGGTCCGAATTCGGTGGCGCCACGTCCGCCGGTCACCGCCTTCTGTACCTCGGCTCCCGCGGCTTCCGCCTCGACACCTTCCATTCGCGAAGCCGGCTGTGTCGTGAGAGGGGCGGCTCAGTCACAAGGGCGGCTGTGCGCATCCTGGCGACCTGAGAGGCGAAGATGTCGGACATCGGGGACTGGTTCAGAAGCATCCCGGCCATCACGCGCTACTGGTTCGCCGCCAGCATCGCGGTCCCTTTGGTCGGCAAACTCGGTCTCATCAGCCCGGCTTACTTGTTCCTGTGGCCCGAAGCCTTCCTCTATCGCTTCCAGGTACTGGCCGGCGCTAGGAAATGGAGACTACAGGCCCCAGGCGGCCCCGCGGCGGCGGAGCGGGCGCCAGAATGGCGCGGACGCGCGATGGCTGGTGGGATTTGTGGTGCGTCGGTTTCAAGCGGTTGAGGGCGGGTCCTGTGGGCCCGGGAGGCCCAGGGGTCTGTAGAGAGGGCTTGCGGAGCTGGAGGTGTGGGTTCGGCCTGGTGGGAAGGGACTTCTTTCAGTTATGTAGTAAGATTGTGCTTCCCGCCCTGCGCCTCTGAAGGAGGCAATGAGGTGAGTCAGTGTTTGCTGTCAATCATTTGGATGTAGCGTGCCCTTTGACGACTTGTCACCCATGTGGATGGAGTCGTGTCTGTTTAATCAGTGTTGTCAACTTGACTTTGTTTTCATCTTACTTGGGGCCCTCTGCCCCTCTTAGTGACTTAAGGCCAGAGATACAAAGAGTGAATTTACTTATGCGCACTTACTTCGCTGGACCCCTAACCTTGTCTTGGCTTGTAGTAATTCAGCGCAAGGACAGAGTAAAGAGTAAATTACTTAAAAAGTGGAAGACCTTGTTACTTTCTTAAGTGTGAACTAAGAGTGTAGACTCTCATTCATGGCAAGAGAATGTTGATTTTCTGGAATTTCTTTATTGGCCAGTTTCTGTAATTTAGAATTAATCCTTGATGTTAAATTCCAAGAAGAGACATTAATTTCAACATATTACTTGGCCTGTGGATAACACTCTTTGGCTCCTTATCTCACTGGGTATTATTTCTTAGGCTCCTTTGCTGATTTCTCATCTTTGTGATCTTTAAATGTTGGGAAATGTCCCAGGAATCAGTTATAGGCCCCTTTGTATAAGACTCTCGCTAGCCCAAGGTGATATCATTCTGCCTTGTGGTTTTAAATATTTTATATAAATGGAAGACTATCAGATAAGTATAAAATTTGTAGCCTATATTTGTCTCTTGATTTCCAGATGTATACATCTATAAGACTTCTGGAAATCATCACTTGGATGATGACCAGTAGACATTTCAGTTAAACGTGATGTGGCCAGAAACCAAATTTGCTTTTTCCCTAGAAGTAAATCACAGCTCCATTAGTAGGAACTCAAGCTAACAGTGGGGAGTCATCTTTGCTTTTTTTCTCTCACATACCCCAATTCTGTCAGAAAGTTCTATTGACTGTATCTTAAACATAATCTAGAATACAGTCCCTTCTTATCCTCCACTGCATGTCATTATTATTCCATCCTTGTTCCTTTTGATCTTTTTTCACTGAACAGCTAGAGTGATTCTTTTAAGGCATAAATCAGTCCTGTCATCCTGCCCAGAATACTCCAGTGTCTTCTCAACCTGATAAATAAAATCCAAGTCCTTTTAGTGGCCTGCAAGGCTCCGCACTGCTCCTCTTATCTCATCTACTGTTTTGTCTCTTGTAAGTCAGGCTCCATGATGAAGTCTTTGCTGTTTTTTCAGCACCTAATTGGATCCCTGCTCGTGGCCTTTGTGTTATTTGTCTGTCTGTGGGAGGTAACCATTGCTCACACATTTGCCTCTGCTACGTCCTTCAGGTCTCCGTGCAAATGCTCTGGTGCCCTACATAAAATATTGCCTGTCCTTCATTCCATTCCCCTTACCCTTAACTTTCTTGCAGTATTTCATCCCTTCGTATTTGTTAGCCTGCTTCTCTTCAGAGAATAAAGTTCCGTGAGAGCCACATCTTTTTCTTGTATGTCCTTTCTTTGTTATTTGGAACAGTGCCTGGCACACAGTAGGTACTTATATATTTATTGAATTTGTGGCATTGATTGGACACTCACTATGTGCTGGGCATTGGGAATACAATAACAAGTGAGACAGAAATAGTGCCTGCTCATATGCAGAAAATAGAGACACTTAATGGAGAGGGATTTAAGGGTGTGTAATATTTTTGAGTCTTCTGGAAAAGCCTTGGAAGACATTTGAAGAATGTCTTTGGGTAGATCTGGCACTGAGCACCACCTTCCAGAAAGAAGAAATAGTAAGTGAAAGACTTGAGACAGGAATGAAAGGAAGATGGGTTGGGTGGTACAAAGTTAAGTACAGGGGTGAGGATCAGTAGACAAGGACAGGGACCTAGCCAGGGGTGAATGCAAGAAAGCAAAGAAAGAATAGTGGGTTGGGGCAACATAGAGGGCCTTGCAGACAATGTTAGGAGGTTTGGATTTGATTTAATTTAGATTTTTTTTTTTTTTTTTTTTTTTATGCTGGCGATTGAAGACAGGGCCCAGCACAGCTGTGCCATTGAACTTTGAGGGCACTATGGAGTTTGAGAGCCTTTTGAATAGAGGATTGATGGGTTGTCTTGACTACTCTCTGGAGTGGATGTGGTGTGTGGGGAAGTGCTAGGTGATGGGATCAGAGAGGCACACAAGTTGGGCAAGAGAGAAGGTGGTTTTGACCAGGGTGTCTGTGAAGATAGAGGAAAATGGATAGACTTGGTATTTGGAATGAACATGATTGCTTATGAGTGGATATGGAGGGAAAATGGGTGAAGGAAAGATGTCAGTGTTTTCATGGAGTACCTACCTTTGTGATAGTACAGCCCTTTATGGAGATTGGGTATGTTCAGGGAGGCTCAGGTTCACTGGGGTGTGTGATTGAATGGTTATGTTATGCTTTCGTCATTGTTAAGTCTTGAGATGCTTTTTAGGATCCAGGTGGAGAAACCAAGTAAGGAGTTGGATCAGGTAGAAAGTTAGATGTTAGAACATGATTGTGGAGCACAGCCAGAATTGCATACTGTTTTCTATTTATTTACTTTTTTAGCAGACATTTGTTGGCAGAGTACGTGTTGTACACTCTGTGCCTAGCAGCATGTTGGGTAATGTGTGTGCAAGGGTAGCAGCGATTGTTTGTAAGAAAAGCCTAGTCCAAACTGACTCTTTGACCCTTCTTGCAAAATCTTCCTCAATTGTGTAGTCAGATCAATAGAGTAAATGACATTAAAAAGCTCTTTTTTTTTTTTTTTTTAGTCAGGCTGAAGATGTAATGTTAAATTGATGACCTGATTAGAAAAAGGCGTCATTCATGTCACAACTTCCATGATCTCCCCATCTTCCTTGCATTGTGTTTTCCAGGTTTGTTATCCTTAGACTAAGAGAAGCTGTTGGCAGGAGACCACACAGTGCCCTGACTGCCAAGGTGTGAAAAGACCAGTAGCTGTGCCTTGTCTCTGCTTCGTGTTCCTGTGACTCTTGCTCTACACAAGATTAGCTACCAAATCCACCTGGAGGAACTTGTTTCCCAGTGATGCAGTTGAGGAAAATCTGGATCTGCGGGCTCAGTGTACTTGTCAGGACAGTGTATAGGCTTTTGTGGAGTTTATGTAAGAGACACACCTCTTCTTTAGAAGCTGGATACATAATAGCTTAAAAAAATTAATAGATGACTGATTTAGCATTGTACATTCATTTTGGAAGTGACAAAAGTCATTTTTTTCTCTTTATCCATAGGTTTCCTCAGTATAGCTTGATGGTTTGGAATGTCAAGGTTTAAGATGTTACTTCTCTGGTTTGGTTAGGTCACACGTGTATGCTAAGACTCACTACATAGTTGTCCCCATCCTGTTCCTCATACCTTGGTCTTAATGCTCATCAGCCAAATAGTTCATAACGATGAAGTGTCCTCATTTGGTTTTTGGGTACGAGAGAGGTGGCAGTTTCTTGCTGCCTAACGTTCTGAGGTTATTTCTCCCAGGGCTGACTGCACTGTGACATACCTTCTTTGCACAAAATATCTGTGTTGTGTTTTTCCATATGTTATCTCATTCAAATCTATGATCATCCTGACATAACTGTTAGTCCATTGAGATCTTGTACCTTTACATGACAGATCTTGGTTCTCAATTTTCCCCCATTCCCCTGCATTCTCTTCACCCCCTCCTCTTCCTATTTACAAAAACTTTACTTCCATTTTTTCATTTTCTCATATTTTTTTCTTTTCCCTTATTTCCTTTCCCCTACCCTCCACTTTCCCTATACCTTTAGCCCTTTTCTTCCTGTTTCACATTGTTAGTTATACCATTAAGATCTTATTTACGATTATAGTTTTTGTTAGTCCATTCTTTAGGCAGCTGCAGTTTTAGTTTCTATTTTGGTGAGTTGACAATAGATCTTAGTTATCTTGTATAGCTCCTTTGCATAATATCTACCAAAAATAATTTAGTGTTTAGTAAAACATTTTGGAAAGTGATTTTTTCCAAATTAATTATAATATTATTTTTCCTTTTCTGTTAGACTAGAAAGACCATAGGATTTCAAATAATTTGAATCAAGGTCTCAAGGCCTGCCTTAGCTCCTTACTAGTGTACCCTTAGGCAAATGGTTTATACTTCTGAGCTTCTCTTTGTTTATCTAAAACTGAGAAAGATATAAAGGGGAAAAAATGAGAACTAAGACCTGTCATCTAAAGGTACAAGATCCCAATAATGAATGTAACTGTACTGTATACCTAAAATGTACCATTAAACTCTGAAAAAAAATAAAATAAAACTGAGAAAGATATAAACCATATTTACTCTCCTAATATTTCATTGATTATATCATATTTCATCAGTTTTTTAATGGTACCAGGGATCAAACCCAGAACTTTATGTTTGCGAGGCAGGCAGCAGAACCACTGAGCTAAATCCCTGACCCATATTTCATCAGTTTAAATGCAGCTTTTGTTTGGATGAGAGATAGAAAAAAAAAGTACATTAATTGTGAGATACATCCTAATTTTAGAAACAAAAAATGAATATCTTCAAATTGAGGAGATGTTAACTACTTTCTGCCTTTTTAAAATGGAACACAAAGAGAAGTGTTTATAATGAGAAGCTATTCAAAAGTAGTTGCCCGTTTTTATCAGTCATTAATAATTTTTGCCTTCTTGCACTCTACGTGTGTTAGTCATTTTTATGTGAAATAAACAATTTAAAAGAAGAAAGGTTTGTTTTGGTCACTGTTTCAGATGTTTTGGTAC